TGTTTGTATGTTAAATTGATGGGTTATTTGTAATGTGATTAGGGTGTGTAGTTTGTTTGAGAATTTATGATTTGAAGGTGTTTGATAAAATGCCTCAAAGGGGTTCTTTAGTTTGAGCTTCTTTGCTTGTGTTATTGGCTTTGTTGTTACATATTTGTGAATTTGTGATGATTGCGATGGGGTGAAGAGGTGTTGAAGGTGGATTTGTGAATTTTTTAATTTTTTAATGTTGTTGAAAATGTGAAATTGTGAACTATTGTGAGAACTATTGTTAGCATCTATTGTTCTTGATCAATATTGCATAATAAATAACTTTAATCATAATCTGTTTTTTTGTTTCTATTGTTTGTAGATAAATGGCTTCATCGTCCTCCTCACAGCCTCAGCAGTACAGTGTGCATCCCGGTCTGAGGGATGAGAGTCTTCTGTATCTCCAGTACAAACATCAGGCGCAGGCAGTATTTGATAATGTGCCGGGAGCTCGTGACACGACGCTCGGAAACCGTCGTTTCGACATTCAGTTTTGGAGCGCTCTTGCAATACTGAGTTGCAAGAAGGACAACCGGATATCGTGTACGAGCAGAGGGCGAGGGCCCTTATCTTGTGGTGCATTGGGTCATTCATCTTCCCCGACCAGCGGGCGGATGGCGTCCCACTTTACTGGCTCCAACTGCTAGAGGACTTCGATGGTATTCAGGGGTACAGCTGGGGTTCAGCGCTCTTGGCCGGAGTATACAGAGCGTTGGCGACCTCGTTCAAGGCCAAAGAGAAGTGGTTGAAGAACTGCGTTCAATTGATCCAGGTAAATTTATTTAATTATTATTTGAAAATTTAATATTTTATTTTTCTTACTTCGACTAATACCTAATAACAAAATTAATGTCCATTTGTGTAGGTTTGGGCATGGGAGCATATCCCTCGTATTCGCCCAAAGATGAAGAAAACAAGTTTGTTTGATACTCTGCCTGATTGTCCATTGGGAGCGAGGTAATCACTTTTATTTTTATTTAATCCGTACATTATTTTCATTATCAAATTTTATGATTACAAACTTTTTTTTTCTGTGATTTTTAAGGTGGGTGAGACTGAGATCTAAGTCAAACATAGCCACTACATTGGCCGCCTACCGGGATCAACTTACAGGGCTGAGAGAGGATGAGGTAATGTTTTTAATTCAATTGTTTATTTCTTTTTACCGTTCTTATTTTTCTGTGATTTATCTTTGTTTTTCTGTTTTTAATTTTGTAATAACTTTATTACTAATCCACTTGTTATTTTTTTTATTACAGTTCGATTGGCAGCCCTATCAAAACGTCCTGAACAATGATTCTCTCCCGGATTCGTGCACAGACGATCGACAATATTGGACGTACCGGGGGTGGATCTTCAGTTGGAACACCCGGGAGGTACACCTGCATGATAGGGTCCTCCGGCAATTTGGGTGTCGCCAATCCATCCCCCAAGATCCGATCATTCGGGATGAGCGAGAGTGGGACGCACACCACAGAGGGCAGGGGATGACTGGGAGGGCATTTTATGACTGGCCCACATTCCATGGACCTATTCTGAGCTCGTAGACCGATGATAGAGCCAATCATCTCCTCCCAATTGCCCCTGTGGACGACTATCTGCAGCCGGAGCAGGGTTATCTCGAATGGTTTCACTGCAGGACCCGTAGATTCATCAATAACCCTGCCAATTACCCAGTCTTCCAACAAGCGGGCGGGTATCAGCCATTTGCCGAGCGGTTGGGCTGTCAGGTAAGTGTTCATTAATTGTGTTTATTATTATTATTATTATTATTATTATTATTATTATTATTATTATTATTATTATTATTATTATTATTATTATTATTATGTTTTTTGCTGTTTGATACTAATTATTATGAATTTTAATTACATACTTCTGCACTATACGGGATTTATGGCGGATTATCCGATAAGCATCCATATGTGCATCAAATTCCTCCAGAAGCGCAACCCAGCTTTCAACAGTCGTACAACTATGCATATTTCTCTCTGACTGTTGGGGGCCTGGGTGTTCCACATGGGGGCCGTCCAGTCAAGTTTTCTCCCAGGACGACTACATTCCCCCCATGAGGACACAGTCACACACCGCCAGACATCATCCCGCCCCCAACATTGGTGGGGGTAGAAGATCTCGGGTCCATCCCCACGCTCAGCCGTCCACCCAGCCCTTCCCACCTCAGTAGTTGTCCCCACCTCAGCAGTCGTCCCCACCTCAGCAGCCGTCCGCCCAGGACTACTACATACCTCAGCCGGCCCAGCCCTTCTCACCTCAGCATCAGTCCGCCCAGAACTACTATATACCTCAGCCGCCCGAACCTCAGCAAGGTGAGATTTTTAAATTAACAATTTTTTTTTTCGGTCCAATTTATGATTTCTTTTTTCCAATTGAATTACACAGATGATGATGACCAGACTTTTCAAGCTGACACGCTTCTCATACCTCAACCTCAAATTGTATATACTCGAAGGGGGTCCAGACAGCGCAGGCCTCCGAATCCATACACTTTTAATTAGTTAGTTATATTGAATTCGTGGATTTTGTGCTTCATTTTCAATTGTTGGATTGTATGTAAAAAATCGAATTATATCGTTTTGTATATATTGTTTGTTTAACAAATTATTGTGTTTTTTCATTTGTTTCGTTATAGTGTATGTTGAATTATTATTGGCCGGATATGTTGATATTATTTGCTCGAACAAGTATATTTGATTTTTGGGTAAATTTGATTTTACCAAATTTTTCAATTTTTTTTTTATTAAAAACGTATTTTAAAAACACGTTTTAAACCAATTTAAAAAATAAAAAAATATGAATTCGTATATAAGAAATACGTTTTGATTTTTAAAAAACATAAAAAAAACGAATAATTAAACGTAGTTATGAAATACGTTTTACTTTTTAGAAAAATTCAAAAAAAAAAAAAAAAA